GCAGGCCAGGCCAGGCCAGAAAAAAGTGGCCTGTTGGCATCTCTGGTATACATCATTATGAAACAGTATACACTCGAGTTGTATTATTATAATGCATTACAATGTATTTATATATCCGGGATTATTATTTATTATTATGATATTATTTACAATGATAATGATATTATTAAATTCTATATGAGGTAAATAATAAATTCATTATATATTTAATAATACTTTTTTTTTCATTTTTTTAGATGAGTTTCGATACTATACGATATTGAGAAGTAAGAAAAAATTTTTTTACATATTAAGTTGAGTTGAATTGAGTTGAGATAAGTTATTTTGAGAAAAAATAAATACTATCAGTTATTATGAGTATGAGTACTTTTGAGATGAGTTGAGTTGAGTCATCAATGTGGATCAGATAGCTACGTTGTCTGATTCAATAGGGACAGGGACTTTGCCATAGCGAAGCAGTGTAGTGCTAGGGAAGGCCTCTATGTGTCGTTGGTCCCTACCGTTCATACGGCATACCTTCGGCCATTGCCCTACCAGTCCGGCCTGGTCCGCCTGTGGTACCTATGGCATTGACAAGGGATCTCTCCCTTGTCGCGCGCGCGCGGGCAAGTCAAAATGAGCCGAGAAAAATCGAAATGATTAGCAATGTGAATAAATTTATTAAGAAAATAAAACAACAATTAGATTTTCCTTCTTACATTGTCAATCGCGTTTCTCACCGATTGAATATGAGGATGGCTAGGTGGAAGTGATTTTTTAAAGATAGAAAGTGCCTTTTCTAAAAATGAAAGTGCCTCCGAATATTTATGCATCTTCGCATTTATCGAGCCGAAGTGCCAGTACGACATAGCCAAATCGGGATGATTCGGAGGCATAGCTTTTTCGTAGATTTTATGTGCTTTTTCGTAAAATTCAAGTGCTTTCGAGTAGTCACCCATGTTGTTATACACTGCACCGATGTTGTTGTAGGAATTAGCCAATGAGGGATGATTCGGAGGCAGAGCTTTTTCTTTTATTTTATGTGCTTTTTCGTAAAATTCAAGTGCTTTCGAGTAGTCACCCATGTCATTATACACTGCACCGATGTTGTTGTAGGAACTAGCCAAATTGGGATGATTCGGAGGCAGAGCTTTTTCGTCGATTTTAAGTGCTTTTTCGTGAAATTCAAGTGCTTTCGAGTAGTCGCCCATGTTCTTATACACTAGAGCAATGTTGTTGTAGATGTGAGCCAATGAAGGATCATCTTCCGGGAGAGTTTTCCGATAGATTTCGAGGGATTTTTTGTAAAACATAATTTCGTTTTCATACTGACCCTGCTGCCATTTCACTCTACCTAACTCGTGATAGATATATGCTCTAGCACTGTCGTCGGATGCTTGTTCTAGTAGTGCCGTATATAATTCTTCGGCTTTGTCAAATTGACTTATTTTGAGCAGCAATTTACCCATTCGATACCATCCAGTGCCGTCGACCTCTTTTCGTATGTGATCGGTTAATTGACGAAGTTGTTGGTCATCATCCGACGTAAGTTTAAGGTCCACTTGATAAAGTGGATTTTTCTTGTCAACTTGTCGAATTTCACCAATTCGAAAAACGGTGTGCATGGAGAAGAGAATTTCCTCTTCGTCCTTGAAATAACTCACCTCCTGGATGGAGGCAAAAGGAGTCGATGAGACAGTAGGATCTACTGTCATTTGAAAGAGGATACCGACCATATCGGTTGTTCCTAATGCATCTTTGGCGAAACCGAGGGAAACATCTCGCTTTGTACTGGTGGATAAAAAGTTGTTGAAAGATATGAGACCACCTTTGTTTTTTTCGAGTTTATCGAAGTCGCTTGTTAATAATCCTTGGCCCCTATAAACTAAAAAGGACTTTCCATGATACTGACTGACCTGTTGGCTGTGTAATTCTTCAATTTGTCGATGAACATCACACAGGAAAAATCCCATTCGGATGATAATGTCACCGTCGAGTGTTCGTAATGCTCGATTGAGCATTTTGTATGTGAAGCATTGGCGTGTATACCACCATAACGCCAACGTTGGATGATAAGTACGTTGAAATTCATTAATCAATTTGAGTTCTTTGGTATTTCCTTGGTATTGTTCTTGGCAATAAGTGACCAAGTCTTTAATGGCTTTTTGGTCATGTTCCATGTCAAGGAGTATTTCCTTGAATATTTGAGTATACATGAAAGATGGTTCTAGCTGATTGAGATTTTCGCTAGAACCTCCTTCATTGACACCGATAATACTGACTGTTACTTGATCTTGATTGCACTGTTTGACAGCCAGTGCCAGTTTTTCACAGATGTGCTTAATTGATGTATGCACACCTTTAATTTTGGGCCAATTTTTAGCCCATTCTTGGTGACGTTGCTTGTTGCCACAAAAGATATATATAGCATCTAATTTTGGCATGCCATGAATTTCGGGTATAAGTGCTTGGCCAAGTGAACCTGAGGAGATGACAAATGATGTCTCCTCTTTGTTTTCCTGGAGTTTATCAATACATTCTTCGGCCGTGGTACATGCGTTCACTTCGTTAACAACACTGCGCAGTTGCGTCAGTGTGTTCTGACAATCTTCGTTTTTCATATTGATATTCGCATCGACCCACATCACCAAAAAATTTTCGGCCATACGTCGCTGTCGACTCATTTTTGACGTTATATTCTCCTTTTGAATCAGTAGTTGAATAGAATGAATAATGAGTTGCTATTTGGATAAAGTTTCTCTTTTCTATATATTCGATGTTGAGTGTCTGCTTTTGTTTTGTTGACACTTGAAGCAATCTCTACCTAGTTGCAATGGAATATATGGTTGCCAACAACATACCTAATGGCATTATTTTTCTTTCCAACTTTCGTTTACTTTTCATCGATTGAATTGTTTGAGCAATAATGTGTTGGATACTTCGTCTTTTTCTCTTTTCGGTGAAAACAAAACATGAAACAACGAAAACATCATGGATTGAAATATTTTTTTTTCATTTTTCTTATGACACATATGTTGATGAGGCACAAAAAAAACGGCACGAAAAATAATTTCAATATTGAATTGAAACAACATTATATTTAAACACCAGCGAGATATATTTTCTCAAAATTACCGAAGCTATTAAGAATAAACTGTATGTCTATTAATGAATGTTAAAGTACCTCTTTTGCACAACATCAGTACACAGTATGAGTGTGAGGGTCGATTTTTCGCTTCAATTATCTCAAAATTCACAACTACACATTGTATCATCATTAACAATCTTGTTGTAGTAGTTTTTGATTTATATTATATTCATTCAAAATATATGTAAAATAAAAAGAATTTGTGTTAAAATATTTATAGATAATTATCCTGTTTCTATTTCTTCATTTTCGAGATCTCGTACAAGTAGAACGTGTGTGTCACAATGATAATTAACAAGAAAGATCCTGTACCATACATACATTTATCACTATGAGAATGTTTACAATAAATACATATCGATAGCAAACACATTAAAAGAAAATATCTATTCTGCTTGCATCAGAATATCTTCAGTGTTGCATATCGTTAATGAAGAATAAAAACTACTTCAATCGTTTTTGAAACTAAAGAAAAATGCATAAAAACAGTGCACAAACCACCAAAATAAAAACATGCACTAATGTAGTTTTATTATTGTTGTCATCGATTTTTTTTGGTTTCTTTCAATGTGATTGCATTTCATCAATCGTTTCTTTTTATCATATCGACGAATTCGAAACAATAAAACTTTATTAAAATCAATTCAATACTGTTCATCGAATTTTGTTTGAATAATTGTGTAAAAACTGATAATGTAGAATAGGTTGCTATGAAATGAGATTCATGATTGTTTCTAAACAAAGAGTTCTAAGTACCATTGATATACTAGTGCAAAGTCTTCTACTAGCATAAATGGGGTAGTTACAACCAAACTTTACTTTCAAATGAGGGATGATCACTGTTTTCAATGAAAAAGACTCTCATATACTATTGGAACTATTAAAGCTTTTGAAAATTTGAAGGCAATTCTAAACAAAACTGTGACCAAAAATATCAGATGTATCCAAAAAATCAATGCATAAAACGAAGAATTGCTGATAATTTGTAACAGTAATTCAATATTTTGATCGTTGAGATAGGCAAAAGTTGAAAAAAAAAGAGATAGCTTCGAATGATTATTGTATTTCTTGCGACATATTAATTGAAAGATTGGTGTGATGTTCTTTTTTCTAGATTCTTTTTTACGATGTTGCATTTGAGCACTGATGTTTTTTTTTCGTTGACACTCACGAAGAAATTTCACCTAAGTAGTTTCAACACAAAATATGGTTGTCAATGACAAATCAAAATCCAAAAAAAGAATATAACAACGTAATTCACTGTATAGTTATTCTTTCCATTTCTTTTCTGTTTACTTTTCGTCTGTATAATAACTTGAATGTCATTGCATTGGATACCTGGCCTCGCAGAGAGTGTGAGTGTTACTATAGTCAAGAAAAATACTTCACACCCATACGCACATCCAACAACAAACTGTATAAAAATAAGTGAATCATATTGTATAGACACAGGAACCAGAAAAAGCTTGTATCTTCTAACAGCAATTGTGAAGACATAAATGTTGTTTATTTTTTATTGCAGAGTAAGAAAAAAGAACGGCATCATTGCAACAAAACTTCAATGGCAAATCACTTTTTTTTCTTCTTGCTCTCTCATCTGTATGGTGAGTGACAAATTGAAACGAGAATATGTAAACAAAGGATTACTAGAGAAACGTAATGTTACATTTTTGTTCGTTTTTTTTAAATTTCTTTCAGTGTGTAAACATCTCATCAAGATTTTTTTTGTTACTATATTTTCGAGTTTGTGTCAATAAAAATTCATAAAAATCAATGCAACACTATTCAATACATTATGTTAATTCTATTTCTCTCCATAGTCATTGATTCGAAAGTATTTTGTGTCCCGAAAATCTAGAGACTAAATTCGATTAGCACCATTCTGAAAAAGCTTGAAATTGAAAGAGCTTTCGAAAATCAGTTCTATAGAAAGGTGTAGATGAAAAGAGTATAGACATCTAGCACCATTAGTCATTTAAAAATATTCAAACATCATATACACTACGCAATAGAAGTATATTTTTATGAAAATTTAAAAAAAACGGAAGAACGACACAGCACGTTGTTAAAGCAGAAAAAAAGGAGAAATATGGTCAAACGGTCTCATTCAGTATTAGAATTTCTTTGCTGGAAAAAGAATGTGTACATCTATTACAAAAGATGACACCATCGATATGGATTTTACTTTTTAGTTCATTAATTCTACAATTAATTAGTAAATAAAGATGACAATAATTTTAAAAAAAACAAACATCAAATTGGCTCCGATCTGCTGAAAAAAATAAATTATTTAGTATATACTGAATTGAATATTTAATATCTGTATCAATTTTAACTCGTCGATCTGAAAACTATCAATATGATGAACTATGATAGCATTTTGTTCGTGTGAGATATATAATAAGCACGCTTGATGAATGTGAGTATGAATTTTCTTTTTATCTATACCTGTAAAATCGAGTTGTTTTTTTTTCAAACGAAAATTCTTATGAACTGGCAACTATTACTACATAGTTATAACTCATTTTTAATTTCAAGTTTCTAATTATATGATTATTCTTCCTTAATATTAATTATTTGATACTATGTTTTTATTTAAAATTTTTAAATTAATTTATAATAATTGGATTTTAATTGAATTTGAAGTAATTTGGATGTGGATGTTTTTTTTTTCTTTACCCATACACCCAGACCTTCGTTTTAATGTTTACACTTTGGCTTGTTTTTGGCTAATCGCTATCGAATTCAAGGACCTTTTATCTTGAGCATTCATGTTTTTTTTTTAATTTTTCCAACGAAACATTACAAGTAAAATTTGTGTACATGCATCTAACAAGAGGCAAGGAAGAACAGTAAAGAAAAAAAAAACAGAATTTCTAAATAGGATTTAAACATGTTTTTGTTCTTTTCTGTTGTTTTTCTTTTCATTTACACTGAGCTGCAGTAGAAAAGAACGAAGAATGGCAATGTCTTATTAGGCAATAATGGCTTCCACTGTTGCCAACAGAATGTGGATGGATAGTTGTGTATAGAACTAATAACCTTTCCTTGCAACCATACTCA